AATATATATATATATATATATATATATATATATATATATATATTTATATATATATATCTATATTTATATATATATTGATATATATATGTATATATATATATGTAAATATATTATATATATGTATATATGTATATACATATGTAAATGCATTTATATAGTTATATTTATATACTGTATATATATATATATATATATATATATATATATAGTAAAGTATAATAATAAACTACCCTACAGTATTATTTGTATATAATCAAAAAGAATGATTTGCATGTTTTAGAAAAAAGTACAAAATGTCTGAAGCTATTGAAGACATGACAGCATATACCAAAATGACAGATAATATTATGTACGAGTTGTGCTACTCAGCCGATACAAGTCTGAAGAAATCTCGCCATATCATCAACAGAGTACTTACAAGGAAGTTGTATACATATATTGATGAAATCACTTTTAAGAATGATAAACAGATTGATAAAGTAAGTTATATTCATGTTTGGGGCAGACGTTTTAATAAGATCGTACAACCTGATGTACAGAAATGCAACTTATATTACGCTGGCTTAAAAAAGGAAAACAAAATACATTTGTTGTGTGAATTATCTTGACGTTCTGAATATTTTCCTTTCCTTTGAAGAAATCTTTGACAAAAATTCAGAAAGACCTAGAAGAAATTCATGAAGATTTGGTTGTCGATGTAAGTAATTATTGCATATCAAATCTCAAGTAAGTGTGTTATAGTCGATACAGCTCAGGCTTACTACTACCATGAAAACTGTTAAATAAAAGGCAAGCGCTAATAACATCTGTAAACATTGAAATGCTTAGTTCCTTTGCGATATTCTGTTTCAGTAAGTTACGACTATTATTGTGGACAGGAAGCAGTATGGTATTATGGGGCGATGGAGAAATTGAAGGTGGATAGAAAAGTATAAAAGGGTACTAGGGAATGAGATAGTTATTATTTCAACTTTTTTTAAATTTTAAATTTTTATTTTTTGTATATCTTAGTTAATTAGGCCTGATGTTCCCATCAGGCAACACAGTATTTATATTTTATTTATAAGCCATGAACTACTCGCACCTAGGTGAGTCACTTTTAGCTCAAATAATTCCAGAGAGTTTGCCGCTAAACATCGTAACTTCAACAAATTTTCGACAATTAATCAGAATGTTGAATGGTGAAACGTTGGGAAGGATAGAGGAGAACAAACCAAAAAGTATCAGATTTGGATATGCATGTGTATAGAAAAAATAAGTTGTTTGCGTGCTGAAGGAAAATTTGCTGCATTTCGACATTGAATAGGAATGTATTTGAAACACTTATATACAAATATGTTAATTGTTTTATGTGTTATTTGTTTTAGGTAGTAAAATTGGATTATGGTTTGCCGATGGATAATCCTATAGATGCTGTGCAATTCTACTCAAAGGACGATCCAAATAAGGCCTATAAGTTAAGCAAAAACTACGTACGTTACTATGCTTTAAAACATTATATACAGTGCATTTTTAGTATAATATAATGTGTTCTGAAAAGATTTTAGGCTGTTTTCGTCTGTGTTCAACTATTCAATCGTCGCCGCTGCCCTCGTCATCATCATCCTCATCATCTTCGTCGGTTGGCGATGTCGTCGTCGTCATTATCTTTATAGTTTTAGGGTGCAGGGCAAAGTTTTTACCATATTACATCAAGGCCTTGCAAAGAATGGGACTGACTTGTATGCCCGAAACAAAGCCAGGTTCCATAGCATGAACCTGTTTTTTTTCATACAGCCCGTCCACAATTATATAAAAAAAAATCTAAGCCTGGTAGGAAGTGAAGACCCTGGTTGCTCAAACTCCAAACCACGAGATTGAAATTGCACCAAACTGTTCGCGAACCGCCTCCCTCCGTTGTGAGCAATTTAGCTCTGTCAGATAACAATACTGTGTGTGTTAAGAACCTTGACCAATTTTATATAAATGTGAACATTTATATATTTATATTTATATTTATTTATTTATTTTTAAACGAGAAAGCCATCGTTTGTTCAAGGTTTAAAAAAGAATTCAATTGATTTATTTTGGTAATCTTTATTAAAATTGCGCTTATTTCAAAGCCTACAATCACAATATTAAACCGAGGACCTCATATAACGTCTGAGATTCGAAACTTAAAAAGTGTACCCCTGTACCTTGTAGCTGTTGCTTATAAAAACATCCACCAGAGAGTATAACTGAAAGTTCGACGAGAGTGAAGTATTGTATAATTTAATTTAAGGTTTTAATGTAAATGTAATGTAGCAACATAGATCATCGAAGTCTCCATCTCGCGATATTATTATAATTCTATATTCTAGCTTGTAGATATTCAGGAAAAAATATTATATTTACAGTAATTTTTTGTCACAATTTCCTAATTCCAAATCAGAGACAGGACCTCGGCAATAAGTTACGACACGGCATTAAAGTCGGGTTCAACTTTATTAACCTCAACACATCACGTTAACAATAATTCGATTTAACTGTCCAATTTGTACTCTTAGTCCGGTTGCCAAAAATGTCTCTACTTTGCCAAGATAGTATGGATCAAGTATTTTAGAGGCAGCCACTAGTTATTCTGATTTTATCTGTATTTTGGCAGTCATATTGGCCGCCATCTTGCATTTTCTGCATAACCAGTTAATATTTTAATATTAGTGCTGCCACTATTTGGCTTAGTATAGACCAAAAAAAATATTGTTCTATGTAAAATATTATAAGAGTTATGGATAATATTCAAATTTTAGCGGCCATTTTTGCGGCCATCTTGGATTTCTTAAATATCATAAGGGTAACAAAATGTTACCCGGTAGAATATTAATCGGGACCACTTGTTGAGCCAAATCCAATGAAAATAATTATGTATCAAATTTTGCACACCTAACCGCCATGGCACCCAGACTATCTTTTGAATAATATAATATGCCACCATTACTTTGTTTATAATTAAAAATTCACAGCACTAATAATTAAACAGTTGCGCTTATTGTCAATAAGCTACACATTAATCTCCTAAAATAATAGATGTATGTATATTTGTGTGTGTGTGTGGGTGTGTGTGTGGGTGTGTGTGTGTGTGTGTGCATGTCAATGTGTAATATTAATCATGTAACAATTCACAACTCATACACACACATTACACATTGATTTCAAATAATACATAGGCCTATCAATATATATATATATATATATATATGTTTATATATATATATATCTTTATATCTATATATCTTTATATATATATATAGCTTCTCATTTAATTTCAAATTTCAGAGTGATTGCAATTGACCATAATGCCAGTTGGAGCGAAAAAAAATCGCAAAGATAAAGAGAATCACTGGGAACTTTTACTTAAATCAACCACACCATTTGGACTCAATATTAGGAACGTTCTCCCAGTACACTAAATTAAACCAATGGCATTTCAATTTATTCTGGATAAATCATTTGCCTTATTTATTGAGGCTTGCTTCTAAAGTTTAGTTTTGGCCTTCCTGTTTACTTGTTTAGGCTGTTTATTCTAATCCCACCAGCCTATTGT